TTTTTTTTTTTTTTTTTTTTTTTTGCGGTACGCAGGCCTTTCACTGTTGTGGCCTCTCCCGTTGCGGAGCATAGGCTCCGGACGCACAGGCTTAGCGGCCATGGCTCACGGGCCCAGCCGTTCCGCGGCATGTGGGATCCTCCCAGACCTGGGCACGAACCTGCGTCCCCTGCATCGGCAGGCGGACTCTCAACCACTGCGCCACGAGGGAAGCCCCCAAGTAGTTTTACATGTAATAATTCATTTAGTCCTCATGATAATTCTATAAGGAAGGCAATATTAGTACTCCCATTTAATGATGAGACTGAAGCAGAGAAGTAATTTGCCTAAGGTCACAAAGTCAATAAGTTAACGAACTGGCACATTTTTCCATGTTGCTAAATTCATTTTCCACACATTTTCTTTTTTTTTAAATGGCTGCACGATATCCATGCAGCCATTTTGTGGATGAAGTATCATTTAATTATTCCACTTCCTTTTATGAGACATCTAGATTATTTCCATTTTTTGATTTATACACATCACTAAGATGGTGATGTAGTATAAGATGCCTTATACTATACCTTTGTGCACAATCCTTAATTATTTCCTTAGGCTAACTGCCCTCAAGAACAGTTGCATTGATTTTTATTTCCTCCAAAGAGGTGTTCCTTTCTCTATGTTCTCCATGACCTTAAATGTAAATTTTATCACTTTTGCCTACAGCAACATTTTATAATTCATTTTACCAGTTCTGAGAAATAAATCCAAGCACTAAAGGATGAGTGATTTCTCTAGAGTAAAAGAGTCAGTCTAAAATCTACCCCCTTTCCATGCTCTGCTGCTTTTTACAGATGCTGAACCTCATGGCTTATACACTAACTCATCGCAGAGGAATGAGGAGTGTTAACCTGGGACAAACCAGCTAATGCAGGCAAGATTCTTATGGTCTACAAGTCAGCATTCACTAATTCACTCACTCATTCATTCAATAAATATTTGAAAGGTTAGTACATGAGTAGTACTAAGCAGGGGTTACAGGGTTCACAGAAAAAAATATTTAGAACAAGGCTAAATAAAACATTTAGCACATAACCTGGCACACAATAATTGCTCAATAAATCAGTATTTATGTCAGGCACTCTGCTAAATGCCAAGTAAGTGTATTATCTCCTTTAATCTCTACAACAACCTCCAGGAACTGTTGTGGTTTCTTTTTAATCATCCCCATTTTGCAGATAAGAAGACTGAGGCCTAGAGAGATTTACCCAGCTTGAGCAACATGCCTATAGTGTTCACATTTGAACTGAAGACTCCAGAGTCTGTGCTCTTAGCCATTATGCTATATTACAAAACACAATTTCTCCCCTTAAGAAGCATATAGCCTTATTAATAATACTAAAATTGAAAACAGCTATCAAGTGTTAAGCACTTATGTGCCAAGCACTGTGCTAGGCCTTTATGCATATTGATCATTTAATTCATATGACAACTCTATGAAATACTCTTGTAATTATGCTTGTTTTATAGATGAGAAAATAGATATTCTGAGAGTTTAAATAACTTGCCCAATATACAAATAGCTCTTAAATAGTAGCACTAGAAGCCAAGATATACAAAGAATTACTGTATAGGGAACATGATGAAATGTAAAACAAGTGATGCTGCTTAGCTACCATCAAATTTCAGAAGTCACAGGAAAGAGACTTCGTGACCTTCTTGTGTTCCAGGAATGATCACAGAAGGATAGAAAGGGAAAATCCTGGCGGTTTGTCAGGCCCTGTGTTGAAAGCCTTCACAAAGGTCTGTTCATTATCCTCTTTGTGAATGTATTATTATTATTCTAAATTTGACAGACGAGGAAATGGATTCTCTGGAAGGTGCTGCATATGTCCAAGGTCACATAGCTAGTAAATGGCATAGCTAGAACTGGAACCTATTTGTCTCTCAAATCTGAGCCCTTAAGCACTGTGTTACATGCTTTCCATTATTTGACCTTGCTTTTTGGTTGTGTAGGTGTCACATAGCCAGAGATGAGTGGAAAAGGCAAAAGTGAAAGGGTATTAAGGAAGATAATACATAAGCAAGAGTATTGAGTTACATCCAAGAAAAAGGAAGCAGACCTTCTTGTTCAGTGCTAAAGATTCATTTGTTTTGGGAAGGAGCCCTTTGTTTGCATACCTTTGGTGACTACACAAACTGTATAAATGTCTGTTTCTGCCATTATAATGGGAGTTATTAAAGACAGGGACTGTATCTTAGCCTGTGCTGTAACCCAGTGTCTAGCATAATGCTTAGCTTGTAGTTCCAGCAGAGAGGTTGGAAAAATAGGGAGTAGTCACATTGCATAGATCTCTGGATGGCAATTAAGGTAGTCCACAGAGCAAATACCCTTAACAAAATAATAGGTACTCAAATCCAACAGGGCATTTAAAGGATAAAATCATGATGCATAGGAGTTATCCCAGGAGTACTAGGGAGGCCCAACAGCAGAAAATCTCTCAATATAATTCACCACATTGATGGACCAAAGGGTAAAAATTATGATTTTTTTCATACTTAGAGAAACTTGATGCAGTAGCATTAAGGTCAGGACTAAGTCGTGGATGCTCATCATTAGTGTTATCTAGAGTCTCGGAGAGTCTGGCCAATTCTTTTAGATGAGAAAAAGTGAAAGATGTATGTACTCTTTTGCTTGCCATTCTTGCCAATGATATGATAGTCTATATGGAAAACACAATATAATCAACAGGCAAACTATCAGAACTATAAAAGAGTTACTGTCAAGTTTGCAAGAATAGAAATCATCTTACAAAATTCAATAGTGTTCTTCTCTATTAGGAATAACCACCTTAAAAATGTAATAAAAAATATAACACAATCTACAGTAGCAACTGAAGTCTATAGCAAATACCTGCAAACTCTTTCTGTAAAGAGCAAACAGTAAATAGTTTCTGTTTGGCAGGTCATGTGGTCTCTGTCGCAGCCATTCAACTCTGTCACTGTTGAACGAAAGCAGCCATAGACAGTATTAAATGAATGAATGTGGATGATCCAATAAAATTTTATTTACAAAACCAGAGCACAGGCTGACATGCCCAGGTGTAGTTTGCCAACTCCTGGTCTATAGTAATTGGCCTAAAAACTGTGGACTGAAGAAAAACTCACGACCTAAAAGTTGCAAGTTAAGTTTTATTCGGGACCTGAGGACTAGAGCCTGGGAGACAGCCTCGCAGATAGCTCTGAGGAACTACTTCGAAGAGGTAAGGGAGGAGCCAGGATATATAGGAGAGTTTTTGCTGAAAAACCATGTAGACGAACATCAAAAGATTACTGCTAATCACAAAAGACAAACATCTCAAGTTAGTGATTTTAGAGCTTTTCTACATATGGGAAGATGCAAGATTCTGGGCTCACTGAAATTTTTCCTTAGATATGCAGCTTAACTCTCTAGGGCCAGTATCCAGAGCACAGAATATTTCCTATTTTCCTCTATGCTGAATTCTCCTCAGGGTGCACTGTTGTGGGTGTGGGGAGGTGGCTATAGTGCCTGATGCCTTGATGGCAGGCAACATTTATTGCTTACTGGAATGGCAGGCAAACTTCCCTTACCACAAAGCAATGCCTAAGAAGTTTATCAAGGAAAAAAAACTAAACTCCATTCAGGGACATTAGAAGGCCTGAATAAATGTCATAATTCAGATAACTTCAGGAGTGTAAAGATTTTATTCATTTGTTTAACAAATATTCAGAGTGGCCACCATACGCCAGGCATCGTTCTGGGTGCTAGGCACCTATCCTCACGAATCTTACATCTTTAGCAGAGAAGCAGTGATTAAATAATCTAAAGTTGGATAGTAATAAATGCTCTGAAAAAGATTAAATAAGAGAAAGAAAGAGTGATGAGGAGTGAGGGTGCTACTTAATTTAGGAGGGTCAGGGAAGGCTTTCCTGATGTTTCAGCAAAGACCTGAAAGAGGTGAAGGAAGCCTGCCCCATTGAATTCTGGTGAGGGAGTGTTCCATGCAAAGATGTCAGTTCTCCCCCAAATTAATCTACATGTGTTCAATGAAATTCCAATAAAAATTCCAGTAGTAATGTTGAGAAACTAAAACCCACTCTAAAATGAATATGAAAGAATAAAGTTCTATGAAAGCTAAGTCTATTTTCAGAGGGAAATAAAAGTAGGGAGACCTGCCCTACTGGTAGAACTGGCTCTACCACGAAGCCACAGTAATAAAAATATTGTGTTGCTGGCACTGAAACAAATAAAAGGATCAATGGAATAGAATGGAGAGCTTATAAATAAAGTATATACACGGGAACTTAATATGTGATAAAGGTGGCATCACAAAACACTGGAAAGATTGTTTTTCTGACAGTTATAGAAAAACAAATTCACTGTATAGAGAAAAAAGCTGAATTTTTACTTGAAACTATGTTAAAAGTGGACTCCAGATGGATTAAAGACATAAATGTGAAAATTAAAACTATAAAGCTAATATTAGAAAATGCAGGAAAATCTGTTACCCAGGTGTAAATAAAGACTTCCTAAACAAGACTCCAAATTCTAAGGTCAAAATTTAGGACATCTGCTTAATTAATGACATCACAGAGTTAACACGAAGGTTGCAGACTGGGAGAAGGTATTTGCAATGTTTAAAACAAACACGGAATAATGTCTAGAATATACACACAATTCCTACAAACTAAGAAGACAGGAAATCAAATTTTAAAAAAGTAGGCAAAGGATATAAATAGGCACTGGGAGAAAGTATTTGCAGTGTTTAAAACAAATAAAAGAAGGTCTAGAATATACAAAGAATTCCTACAAATCAACAAGACAGGAAATCAAATAGGAAAATAAGCAAAGGATATATAAATACCTTAGTTTCACATACTAAGCATACAAAAAAAACAAAAAAGAAAAAAAAGGCTCAAATTTAATTATAATCAGAGAAATGCAAATCAAGACAGCCAAGAGCTGCCACTTTACTTCCACCAGACTGGCAAAAATTAATAGTACTTATGTTTGTTTTTGTTAATCTGTAGACAAAGACTTATAGATGGGTGCAAAAATAAATCCTCTTTTGCAACACAGAACTCATTGTTCAGTATGAGTTTTGATAGAGGTAAGAAGGAACATGGTACCTGAAACAGATTCAAGCGGTGGGGGTATTGATAAACACAAAGGTTGCTTCCAGGACTATAGAATTGATAATTTAAAAGCTCAAGATATGTGGGAAATTATCAGCTACGCTGATTTAGTACTCTAATGTTGACATGAAACAAAGATGACTTCCTTTTTTAGGTTTTTATCTTGAGAACACAGTGTCTGGACTTTAAAAAGGTATTGGCATATTCCAACGATCTGTACTGTTCTAAGCTATGATAGCTTAGGAGTGAATACGATTTGAACTTAATGCATGTTTAGAGGGTGTCTAAAATTCAGAAGCAGGCAGATCCATTTCCTCTGACCCTAAACATGGTCCAAAAGTAAATTGCTTGAGGAAATTGGATCCCAAAGATCACAGGTGGGGAATTTTGAAGTATGTCCATATTCCATTGGAGATCAAAGAAGCCCAACTAAAAGAATGGGAGACTGACTGACTGACATGACAACTGTGGACTAAGGAAAAATTCTTTTTGAAAGGGCTATCTTGAAGAGTATGACTCAGACACTGGAGGAACTAAGGTGATCGGCAGTGGAAGGAATCAGAACATGTGAAATTCCTTAAAAATTTATTGACTTAAATAATTTGCCATATATAAAAACATAAAAAAAGAAAAAGAAAACTGGAAAAAATGAGAAAGATGCTAACACTGAAGATTGGTGGTTATGAGTTCTTGTGTATTGGTGATAGGAATTAGCACAGCCATTCTGAAAAGTAACCTGGCCATTTTTGGCAAATTGAGCATGCCCAATTGCATAGTTCAGAGGAATATTCACATCAGTATACAAACTTGCTTATTTTTGCTTTTTTTTTTTGCCGCTGTGCAGCATGGCATGCGGGATCCTTAGTTCTCTGACCAGGGATTGAACCCATGCCCCCTGCAGTGGAAGCGTGGAGTCTTAACCACTGGACCGCCAGGGAAGTCCCTATTTTTGAATTTTTAATAGTAATCGAGAGTTGAAGGCAATCTAGAGTTCTATCATCAAAAGAGTGAATGAGTAAAACATGGTGGATGAACAGTGGTTATGTACCTGGAGCTAGGCCGCTGGAGTTGAAGTTCAGGCTCCACCACTTACAATAGAAGTAAAAATTTGAGTAATCTGCGCATTCCTTTTTTTTTTTTTTTTGAGATACGCGGGCCTCTCACTGTTGTGGCCTCTCCCGTTGCGGAGCACAGGCTCCGGACGTGCAGGCTCAGCGGCCATGGCTCATGGGCCCAGCCGCTCCACAGCATGTGGGATCTTCCCAGACCAGGGCACGAACCCGTGTCCCCTGCATCGGCAGGCGGACTCTCAACCAGTGCGCCACCAGGGAAGCCCCAAGGCCTCATTCTTATCTACAAAATGGGAGTAATAATATCTACCTCATAGGGTTGTTGGGAGAAGTATGAGTTAAAACATTTAAACCATCTGAAACAGAGTTAAGCACTATTTAAGTACTAATATTACTGTTAACATGAAAGCATATGCAAGTTCAAAGTTGTAAGTTAGGTTTACGTATAGCAATAAGAGAATATCACAAAAGCAATAATAATTTTAAAAAGTAAGAAAAACATTTATTTATTTATTTTTGGCTGCGTTGGGTCTTTGTTGCTGTGCGCAGGCTTTCTCTAGTTGCGGTGAACAAGGGCTACTCTTTGTTGTGGTGCATGGGCTTCTCATTGCCGTGGCTTCTCTTGTTGTGGAGCATCGGCTCTAGGTGCGCGGGCTTCGGTAGTTGTGGCACGCAGGCTCAGTAGTTGTGGCTTGCGGGCTTAGTTGCTCCACAGCACGTGGGATCTTCCCCGACCAGGGCTTGAACAAGTGTCCCGTGCGTTGGCAGGCAGATTAACTGCTGGGCCAGCAGGGAAGTCCCAAAATGGAACATTTACGGCATAATATCATTTATGTGGATTGAACATACTTATATAACTCTACATATTTTACAAGACATGCATGACAGACATACATTGAACAGATCAGAATGGGTGCCTATAGGATAGAATGAGAGTAGAGTTTAGGAATAAAGTGGAAGACTACAAAATAAGAAAGGGGCCTTACTTGAATCATCCTGCTAATATGCTACGAAAGGAGGAACAAGACTTACTCATGAAATCTGCAACTGAAGGGGGTAAAAGCTATCTTGAAAATATGCAAGGGAAAGCCAAGAAAAGGATCCCAGAGCCAGAGAAATAACCAGCTGACCAACTTGGAAGCTACCCTATCTTTGAACTTACCCTTAAATGAGATAACACCATCCTTACCGTTTAAGGCAGCTTTGGATAGGTTTTCTGTTACTTGCCCAAAACCTCTTAACGGAGTATTCATATGATCTTTCGAGTGGCAAACCGAGGTCCAAAGAGAATTATGATCTATCCAATGTAATACCTCAACTGGGGTATTATCTCAGTGGAGGTTCCAGAAGAAAATGAAAAATTTGAGTGACCAACAATTTTTAAAAGGCCAAACTCTATCAGTGGGCTTCCCTGGTGGCACAGTGGTTTAGAATCCACCTGCCAATGCAGGGGACACGGGTTCAAGCCCTAGTCCGGGAAGATCCCAGTTGCCGCAGAGCAACTAAGCCCGTGGGCCACAACTACTGAGACTGTGCTCTAGAGCCCTCGAGCCACAACTACTGAGCCTGCGTGCCACAACTACTGAAGCCCGTGCGCCTAGACCCCATGTTCCGAAATGAGAAGCCCGTGCACAACGAAGAGTAGCCCCCACTCGCCGCAACTAGAGAAAGCCCGCATGCAGCAACGAAGACCCAACGCAGCCAAAAATTAAAAAAAAAAACAAAACTCTATAAGTATTAAAATGATCAACATTTATCCCACTCAGAACTGTTATTTTTAAAAATCCATTAGAAGTCAAATGATAAATGGGAAATTATATAAAAGCTGTTTACAAATTAATAAAGACAAACAATGAAGAAAAGGGAATTCACATAAGAAAAAATGTCCAATAAACATATAAAATTTTAAACCTAATTGATGAGTATTTTTAAAAGAAAATTAAAACCAGTCACCATTTATCATCAAATGGGAAAAATAAGTTTTCACCGTCACACCCACCTTTGGCAACTGTGTTGGAAAACTGGTAGGAGTGAAAACTGGGACATTTCTGGAAGGCATCTGGCAATGCATAGTGGAAGACTTAAAACAAGGCACACTCTTTGACTCAGCAGTTCCCTAGAATTTATCCTGAAGAATCATCATGGATGACAACAGAAATTTAATTAAAAACACTAGCATCACAGGACAGTTTATAAAAGCAAAAAATTGGGATCAAACTAAAATTCCCAAAGTAGGGGAATCAATTAAGTTACGGAAAATCCAAATGATAGGATACAAATAGCAGTTACAATTATCAGTATTTAAATACAAGCTCTGCTAATTTGTAGCTGTATAGCTCAGGGAAAGCTAATTACTCTCTCTGTACCTCAGTTTCCCTGTAAAAAATGGGTCTGTTGCGAGGATTAAATTAGTAAACATACCTAAAGCACTTAGGATAGCGCTGACACATAATAATAAGAAAAAAAAGTTTTTTTTAACAGAAGAGGGACTTCCCTGGTGGCACAGCAGATAAAACTCCATGTTCCCGATGCAAGGGGCCCAGGTTCAATCCCTGGTCAGGGAACTAGATACCACATGCATGCCGCAACTAAGAGTTCACATGCCACAACTAAGGAGCCCGCCTGCTGCAACTAAGGAGCCCACGTGCCGCAACTAAGGAGCCCTGGAACTGCGACTAAGTAACACGCCTGCTGAAATTAAGACCAGAAGCAACCAAATAATTAATTTTTAAAAACCCCAGAAAAACATTGTCCCAGATGCCTAATGTCCCGGAAAGATGTTAATGATAAATTAAACAAAAAAAGATTGCAAACCAGTATATGTACAATATTTTTCTAAAATAAATATATCTCATATACATAAATTTCCAAAAATAAAGACTAGAAGGATATAAAACAAAACAAATAGTATACCTCTTTGAATAACAGGATTACAGGTTATTTTTCTTATTTTTGTCAGAATTTAAATTTTTTTCAATAACAAATATGTGCTACTTTTTTTTTTTTTCTTTTGCGGTACGCGGGCCTTTCCCGTTGCGGAGCACAGGCTCCGGACGCACAGGCTCAGCGGCCATGGCTCACGGGCCCAGCCGCTCCATGGCATGTGGGATCTTCCCGGACCGGGGCACGAACCCGTGTCCCCTGCATCGGCAGGCGGACTCTCAACCACTGCGCCACCAGGGAAGCCCATGTGCTGCTTTTATGAAAGGTAAACTATCACCTCTATCAAAATTAAAACAAAAAACTGTCATATTTTTGCTCCAGTTGATGAGTCTACCCCAAATTAGCAGGGTAATGGGGTAAAGAATCAGAATGATAGACATTTCTCTTTATAGCCTTTATTACTGCACAATACAAACTCAGTCTCTGTTTTACAAACCTTACACACAAATGGCAAAACAATTAAAAGATTTTTATTCCCCAAAGCTATTTTATTCCAGTTTCCCCTCTTTATGCAGAGGGATTATCTAGATTCTCCATGTCATCCTTAGCCTTTAATTTAGAAAGGCTGTCACAAAAGTGAACTGGCCATATGAGGAAAACAGTGCAAAGAACCAACTAAGTTCTCATTGTCCTCCTTCCTGAGGGAAGAATGCCTGGCTAGCAGTGGTGAAATAGGGCAATTATAACATCTTCTTTTTTTGTAACAGCTGAGGACAAGCCCCAGTGGTGGACAGACTGCCTTGTCACATGAGCCTTTTGGGGTCTATTTTCTCTAGGTGAACCAGAGGTTTCAGCTGCTCTGCAAAGTTCCTCATGTCATCAGACACCACGTCCTGCCCAGCTGGTGCAACAACACTTAGTTCCACAAGGTAGGAGAGTGACAAGGCCTCAGTGTTGTCTGTGTTCCCTGGTGTCAAGATGCGGAAGATCTTGTACACCACGATCTTCATGATGCCCTTACGGAACAGGTGTCCCCT